CCGGCCCGCATCTGGTTGGACATTCAGGACGCCGCCGCGGAAGGTTCCGCCACCCTCCCCCCTCGATAGCATGTGGTGTGGAGAGAAGGGCGCCCCCCTCCCTGGAAGCGATGTCCGCCTGCTCCATTCAAAGTGCAAGCACTGGCCCGGTGCACGTGGGTGAGCAGCCTGCCCCTCCCTACCGACAAACCAACTCCCGCACACACACAATCGCACTCTGGCCATCGAATGACTCCGAATGTGTGTGCTATCCTAAGACAGAATCTCCGCAGACAGCCAAAACGGGCCGTGCCGCGTTTGTGGTGTCTTCTCAAGCACTAGCATCCGGGCGCCGCACTCGAGTGGGCGGGTCACATCTATGTGGGCCCAGTGTGCGCACTAGGCGCATATGCTAGTGCTATCCTGCCCTATGGGAGGCAGAGGGATGGGGGGAGGGGGGGGCAGAGGTAAGGTGGGGTGAGACTGGGGAGGACCTCAGAGGTCCTCCATGGGGGTGGGGTCCGGCTCGAACAGGTCACAAGTGACGCCGTTCCCGCCATCTCCGCCGACGCCGTCGCCCTTGTCCGCCTCGGAGGCGGAGGTCATGATTGGCTAGACGAGCGGCCTACCTCCAACAGGGAACGCGTGGAACCTGCCCCGCCGCCTCGGTGGGATTGTGGGCGCCGACAGACAGCCTTCTCTCCATCACCCTCGCCCAGGGATCTAAGGCGCCATGTGTGTGAGTGAGTGTGAGTACACATAAATAAACAAAGAGCTGGACAAATACCAAATTCCAAATCGCAAACATAGAAACCCAAACACAGGCGGCGACGTGGCATACGAGCTCATAGGAGAAGGAGGCGCACAACTTCCAAGGACGCACGAGCGAGAAGCACGCACACAGCCATGACGATGATGATTGAGCGCGTGAACACCAACTCCCCGGCACAGGCCGTGAAGAGCCGCGCACGCGGGCCGACGATTACGCAGCTGCGTGCCAAGCAGGCCGCTCTTGTGGCCGCAGCTGAGCTCGCAGCTTCGAGTAACGCCGAGGCGAGTGTGGTAAGGCACTCGCCCGTCGACGAAGCCAAGCGGTGGGCAAGCGGCAAAGGCCGCAAAGTGGGCTTCTCAAAAGCACGTGCCACCTTCCGTGGCGGCGGCACGGGAATCGCGGCGACGGCCGCGAAGCACGACTCGCTCATCAAGAAGGCCCGCTGGCGCGGCACCGAACAAATTGCCCGGGAGACTCCGGCGGGCTCTGTGTCCGTAGTGACGATGCCGCACCGCAAGGACTTCGCCTCCGACAAGGAGCACCAAGTGAAGTTTAACCTGTGGCTGAAGGCGGACGGCTTCAAAAATAAAAACGGACACCAATAAATAAAACGGACACCTCTACTAGGAGATGGGTAAAAAGGAACAGGTCCCCGCCCTGCGGTCTTTGTGCAGGGTTCTTTGTGGGTGTGGTCGGCGACTAGCCGGGGTCGTCCTAATAAATAAATACAACGGACATCCCAAGCTAGGGCTGGGTCGAGGACAGACACGTCCCCACCTTTGCAGGATTTTGCAAAAGTGTGAGTACACACACTCACCCACGCATCCGCACTGCTCCAGGAACGGTCCAGGATGGAAGGGTCTAGGAACGGACCACGCTCGAAGCACCACCGCCAGGTGCTTGTCGAGCTCGGCTAGATCTCGCTCGTTCTCGGCTAAATCTCGCTCGTTCTTTTTTTTGGAAAACTGTACCCCATGTCCCCCAATGTACCCCACATTCCGCTGACGGCCTCTATCCCAAGGAAGCCCTCCACTAAGCTCGTCCGCTCGCACATATGCAGAACAGACATCAAGCCTGGGCTAAACCAGGCGTGATTGATGGAACCACGTCGGTGAAAAACGAAAAATTGCCCCTCCGCGAGACCTCGATAGAGTAGCGCTGAAGGCGCTCTTTTTGATTGAAAATAGTACCCCACGTTCCCCGACGGCGCTCGCGTCCTGCCATGGACACGCCAGCCTCTGCGCGTACGAAGCGCTCCTGGACGGCCCAGGCCGCGCTCCTCCTGTTCGCGGCTCTCCTGCTTGTCGGGCGAGCCAGCGTCGGCGAGAGGGCAAGCGAGATGTATTGGGACACGTCAGAGATTTACGCACGTGACGAGCGAACCGATCGCAGCGTGAGGATGGCGTGTCATCCCATGTACGGTTGGCTGGAGAAGCCGCTGAACCTCATGGTCCACGATGTCGTCGACGACATCCCAAAGAAACCACGTCTCGCGAAGGTCCCGTTCGATGCAGTCATGAGAGTCGGAGTGGTGGAAACCGACATCACGGATCTCCAGATCAGAGACATCAAAATAGATGACGTTAGCTTTATAGATTGCAGAACGGTGAGAGACTTCGCTCCGATGCTGCCAAGGGCGCTCCCCAACGTCGTCAAGGTCCACGTGCACGGCATTCGCGTCACGGTCGATATGGCGTACGATTCGCGCGGCTTGTTGGGGTTTGGCGCAAGCGCTGGCAAGGCACGATCCACCGTGAAAGGGGAGATGAAGCTCACCTTGGCCTTTCTCGCTTTCGACGACTGGCACGTGTCTTCCTGCGCGGGCAATTTCACGGTGGCAGACACACAGGTGATCGGCGAGGGCTTGGGCGAGCTTGCAGTGCCAGTGCCGAACGCGCTTCCCTTCGCCTCAATAATGTGCTACGGCCTTGGCGCGGTGATGGATTCCGGGCTGGTCGGCCTCACGCTGGAGGGAGCACAGGACACACGCTACGAGGGCAAGGAGGCAACCTTTCGTGGAGTCGTGCCGATGGTCAACGAGCGGCTGAGCCGGATCGCGCCCGCGGTCCGTGGGACAGCGCAAACCCTACACGTCGACCTGCGGGACTCGGTCCACTGGGTTGAGGACAAAATGCGGGACTCGGTCCACTGGGTTGAGGACAAAATTCCTTGTCTTGGTCTCCTCCGCTCCTGCCATCCGCCACCTTCGCCGCCGGCGCCACCAGAGTGGTTGTGGCGCTGACAGCAGTAAACGCTCCACATGAAACGCTCACAGACACTGAAAAGCATGCTCAGAAGTCTCTCACACTATGTGTTGACTCTCTCAGTAAAGTGTAGGTGAGTCTAGAGGAGAGATGGGGAAAGGAGCTGTAGTTTCAGAGAGTTTGACTAGCTTTGAGTCAGTTTCATACTTTAATACGCCGTCACGTGTTCGCCCGGTCCCCGCTCGCGTCCAGCTTCTGCCGCGCGTCTGCGTGGCAGCGCTTGACACTGACGAGGGTTCGTCTCGCTGACCACGAGCATCTTCACCGCCCCTCGGTGGGCGAGCCGACTCAGTTGCCAGTCAACATGCTCGGCGCCCGTGTACCTATCCACAAATTTGGCGGTGATCAGACCGCTCCCGACCTCCGCTCGACGGAAGGGTGGCGGCGGGTGCACCCCGAGTTGGCAAAGGCGTCAAGGAGGCGCCTGGCGCCGCGGCTTCCCCGCAGCACGTAGCAGCCCAGCCACACATTTGGCATCCGCGGCTCGCCTGAGGCGAGAGAGGAGGGGTCGTCACTTGAGGAAGCGTCTACCCGCGAGCGCACACGACGCACGGGCACGCGGCAGGGCCCTCCACGCCACCGCCGCATTGGCAGTGGCAGGGCCACCGGGCGCGAGCGGTGCGGCGTTGTTCAGCGCCGCGCACTTCTCGCCGCCCCGCTTTGCCTGACATCCACACGAGGCATACCATGCACTTTCCTCGTCCGCTCGCGCTTGCCGCGCCGCATTGCGCCCGACTATGCCGCCGCGAGCAGCACGCCTAGACCCCCACGACGCCTAAGTATTGCTCACGGAACCCGCCGCCTCACCTCACCACCCCCACCACGCGATGCGCCCTCTCTCGCGGCGCGAGCGGCTGTAACCCCCCTCGGCCTCGCACCGCTTGCCTACTCCCGCTCGCAGGTACAGCCGCTGCCATCGAGGAAGCCGCGAGACGCGTCCGCTGCTGCCCATTCCCCACCCTTGTCCCGCGCAACCGCCCTCCCTCTCTTCTGGCAAGAGAGCGACCCGCTCTCGCTTGCTCGCCAATCGCCGCCCGGCTCCAGTCCGAGCGCCGAGGACGCGAGAGAGCGCGCCGGCGGCCTCGTCTCGACCGTTCAGGTGCTTTCATCTTTGTGCTTTTTTGTGCAGCCGCCGTCACTGATTTCTTTTTATCTAGCGAGGCTCCGCGCAAAGTCACCTGTCCGGCTCAACGACTTTTTTTTCATCGAACAATGCCGTCAAAGGTCCGACCTGTGTGTGGGCACTGCCTGCGCTCGGCACCGGGCACCGCACTGCTTTTGCTCGCCTTCTATGCCGCCGTCGAGGCCGAGAAGCCCGAGGGCTGGACCAAGCTGAAGTACAAGCTTTGCTTGCTGGACCTGGCCAGCGCCAAACTTGACTAGAAGCTCCTCATCGGGAGCATGGCGACGTTTGCGGAATCTAGGGCTAAGGATGAGGATACTCTAGCGACGACGAATTTTTCGTCATACCCAAACGGAACCGATATCAAAGCTCGGCTGGAAGCAGCATTGGTCGAGAAGAAGATTTCGGACGCCGAGTACGTTTACAAGCACATCGAGGTCTCTGAGTGTGCGCCGACGGAGGCCAGCGAGGAAACGGCAGACGCCTGCCTTGCCCTCGACCTCTCGGGGGAGAAGTACCTGCGCATGTTTGATAATTACGCCAACGCCACCAAATATGCACAGTGCCCGGAAGAAATGTGCAACTGCTGCTGCGTTTCCCTCGCGGATGTGGACACCTGCGTCACCCAAAGCCAAGCGGCGCTCAAAGATCTGGCGATCTGGGACAAGGGTGAAGATACGTCGATGTGCGGCTACGCCCCGACGCCTACGCCTACGCCTACGCCGACTCCGACACCTGGTGGCGGCGGCGGTGACGATCCCTGCTTCTCTCGCGACACGTACGCGTGCCGCCTCCTCGACCCCAAGGCGCGCTCCCTAGGGGGGGAGGGGGACTAGGGAGGAGGGCATTGGCACCTTTGCCCCTCCCCCCCCCCCCCCCGGACCCCCCCCCCCCCCAGGCCCCTGCCGCCGAGGCGTACGCCCAGTGCTTCCTCGGCGCCGCCGGCGACGCGGCGACGCGCGCCCCCATGTCCGAGCTCGCCGCGGGCGACACCGTGCTCTCCGACGCGGACACCGCCGCGCGCGTCGTCGTCAACCAGCACAAGATCGAGGAGCAGGGCAAGGCCTCGCTCCTCATCACGCTCACGCACGCGCGCGGCTCGCTCGCGCTCACGCCCGACCACGTGCTCGAGCTCGACGGCAAGTTCATGCCTGCGCGCGAGGCGCACGTCGGCGCGGCCCTCTCCAACGGCGCGGTCATCGAGGCCATCTCGCACTCGCGCGGCGGCATCATCAACCCCATCACCGCCACCGGCAAGATCCTCGCGGCGGCAGCCACCGGCGAGCCCGTGGTCGCGGCGACGGGCAACGAGTGGCTCGCCGACGTGATGCTCTCGGCCTACCCGAAGTACACCCTCTCGTACACGCTCGCGGCCGCCTTCCCCGCCGCGGTGCAGGCCTACTACGACGGCGCGCTCGAGCCGCTCTTCACCGCGGCCGTCCCGCACCTCACCAAGATCAAGGCCGCCGCGCCGGCGCCGCTCGTCGGCGTCATTCTCGTGGCGGGCGACGCGGCGCTCGCCACCGGCCTCGCCGCCTACTCGCTCGGCCTCAAGGGCGTCGCCACCCTCGCCGTGATCGCCGTGGCGGCCGCGCGCAAGGGCAAGAAGCCGTGAGGCGCGTGCGGCCTTGCTAGCCGTCGGAGGTATATGTAGCCGCTGGGCGGCGCAATAGTTGCCTCCACATGTCGGAGAGAGGAGAGAGGTGCAAGGAGGGAGTTGAGGGGGCGCAGGGCCGGCTCGAGGATTCGCACTGCTCATACTTCTTCTGGGAGGACGACGAGTAAGAGGACGAGGAAGAGGTTGACCACCTCGCAGAGGCACGGGTGTGGCTCAAGCTGGCTGGGCTTCCAACGACCGAGACGAGACGCGAAGAGTTCCGTGCGGAGCACGGAGAGGATCCGGTGTGGTGAGGAAGAGCCTGCATGCGACACCCTTGGGTCACGCCGCACATACACACCACAACATGTACATGTACATGTTTCGAATATTGTGTATCTTTGTATTTGTAGAGACAGAGTATGAAGGTACGGCTCTAATTTGACGCCCCCCCCCTGGGGCCCTGGTCCCTGTCGTTGTCCCTGTTTCTGGCCGAGTGCGCGCATGTGGCTAGTGCCATTTCACTGTGGCACAGCTCGCGTTACAAAACCTTGATTTGACCATTTGCGCCATTTTGTCCCTCTCGGTGCCTTACAGAGGCAGCTGCGACCCCGCCGAGTGGACGGGCGCACACGGCAGGTGGCGCGGAGTGCCACCGTCCACTCGGCGGGCTCGCAGCTGCCTCTGCGCGTCCTGGGGAGGGACAAAATTGTCGCCGCCGAAGGCGACTCGACGCCACCGAGATCGGAGATCAAGCTCTGACAGGTCGCACGTCGCTCCTTTGACGCCGACGTGACTCACCCGTGCAGATCACATCATGACACGGTCTCGACGCTCACCACTCGGAACCCCCCGCTCCGCGCACGGCCTCCTCACCCCCACTCCAAAGTTACGCGACTTTTTTTAGAGGCGCTTCACCCCTGGACAGAGGACGCACAGACAGTCGAGGCGCTTCACCATGTCAGTTTCTTGGGAAAATCTCGCGCGCGCAGGCCGCCTCACGCGCGCGGTTGACAAGGAGGACGCAAACGCCCCGGCGATCAAAAAGCTCCGCGTCGCAAACCTCGAGCCCTCCGCCGAGCCGTACACGCTGCGGATCAGCATGCCGTGCGCTGCTCCGTGCGGAGGGTGCGTGGTGGCGCACAAGATGAAGGCGGGCAGCACTCGCATGGTGCTGGTCTGGAACGAGAACGTCCAGGAGTGCAAGCTCGATCCCATCTCCCTCGCCGCCATCGGAGGCCTCGCGGCGTCCGCGACATCGCAAGCCTCGGCCGCGGCGGCGCAGCCGCCGAGCGCGAAGGCTCCATTTCCTGAGGCGGAGGGCGTGCGTTTGCCTCCCTCCTCCTCCGCCGCCTCCTCCTCCTCCTCCGCCGCCGCCGCCGCCACTGGCGCCTCCGGCGCCCCTGGTTCAGCCGCGGCGGCGGCGGTGGAGACGCCCATGACCGAGGAGGCGGAGGGTTTGAGGCTGCACCTCTCCGACAAGAGCAACACCGGCTACAAAGGCGTGTGCAAGACGAAGCGGAAGAAGAAGACACGCTTCCTAGCGCAGGCCAATTTGTCAGGGGACAACAAACAAACAAAACTCGGCTACTTCGGCACGGCGGTGGAGGCGGCGGTGGCGTATGCGCGGGCGGTCGGCGAGGCGGCGGCGCGGCGCGGCTGCAACGGCGGCGCCACCACCGCGCCACCCTCCGCCCCTCCCTCTTCCGCGAGGGGTGCCGTTTCCTCTCCCTCCGCCGCCTCCGCCTCCGCCTCCGCCTCCGCCTCCGCCGCCGCCTCCGCCTCCGCCGCCACCGCCACCGCCACCGCCTCCGCCGCCGCCACCGCCGCCGCCGCCGCCGCCGCCTCCGTCGCCACCGCCGCCGCCGCTGCCGCCACCGCCGCCGCCGCTACCGCCTCCGCCTCCTCCGTCGCCGCCGCCTCCACCTCCGCCGCCGCTTCTTCCGCCCCCGCCCGGTCCTCCTCCGCCGCCGCGCCGCGCGGCCTCCGTGACCTTGTCGGGCTCTACGACGGAAGCGACTGGCAGCAGGGCCGCCTCGACGGGCACGCTGAGGGGCGCAGCAGCGGGCGGCGCCGCTCCGCGCCCGCGCGCTTCGTTGCGGAGCCGTCGCTGCAAGGCGACGAGCCACACAGACACTTTTGCCCCCACGCACACTCCCGGGGGGGGGGAGGGGGCGGGGGCGGGGGCGGGGGCGGGGGGGGGGGGGGGGGGCCCCCTTGGGGGGGGGGCCCTTTTTAGGCCCCCCCCCCCCCCCCCCCCTAGAAGGGGAACCCTTGGGGGGGGGGGACCCCCCCCCCCCCCCTAGCATGGGGGGGGAGTAGAAGGCCCCCCCCCCCCCCCCTCTGGAAGCGATGTGCGCCTGCTCCCACAGGTACGCGCCTCTGTCTCCACACACCGCACGGGCCCCCTCCTGCCCTCTCCTCAGGAGACGAGTCGCAGCTCTGGCAAGTCGAGAAGCTGCTCGCCGGCCAGGCGCAATCTCGGCGAATCTCGGCGAATCTCGGCGAATCTCGGCGAATCTCGGCGAATCTCGGCGAATCTCGCTCGCCCGGCCAGCTGCATGCGCGCCTCGGCGAGGGCGCCGATTGAGTCCACCGCCGACTGGATGCTCCAGCAGGTCGTGGCAGAGGTGAGTCAGGAGGGCGAGGACGGCGAGGACGGCGAAGAAGAGGGCGAGGGCGAGGAGGCACCAGTGCCGGTGGCGGAGGAGGCGGAGGGCTTGCGTCTGCATCTGTCAAGCAACGCCGCCACCGGCTACAAGAATGTGCGGGAGTCCTCTGGCCGCTTCGAAGCGCGGATCTGCCCAGGCGGCTCGGGACGGCAGATCGCCATCGGCCGCTTCGACACGGCAGTGGAGGCGGCGGTGGCGTATGCGCGGAGGGTCGGACAGGCAGAGGAGGCAGGGGTGGAGGCAACCTGTTCACAGCTGCACGCGAGGCCGCACGAGGTGCTTCAGCGGCCGGCCAAGCGCGCGCGGAAGAAGGGCGCAGCAGACGTGGCGGACGCACCGCACCGCACCGCGCGCTCGAGCGACAGCTCCGCCTCCGCCGCGGCCGCCCCCCGCGCCGCCCCCCTCGCCGCCCCCCTCGCCGCTCCCCGCGCCGCTCTCCTCGCCGCCCCTGCCGCGGCCCCGCTGCCTCCGAGCCGCCTCTTCGAGCTCCTGCCCGACGGCCGCACCGTCCACAAGGAGGCGCCCCCCCCCACGGGCGGCATCGCGGCCGTCACCGCGGCGCTCCGTCACGTCGGCCTGGGGGGCTACGCCGCCGCCTTTGACGCCGAGGGGTTCGATGACCTCGGGTTTCTGCTCGAGCTGAGCGCCGCCGAGCGCGCCGATGTGGCAAGGGAGACGGGCATGAAACCAGGGCACGTGTCGAAGTTTGA